ATATATATATATAAGGGAAAGAAGTGTATACCTAAGGGCTCGTTTTTCCGTGTTTTTAACACAATAATAATGAGATATAACAGACAGTAATGCCAAGGAATGTACAGGGGAAGTTATTAACATTAATGGAATGTAAATAAGAAGAAAGAAAAGTGGATGAAAAAATTACCAACTGTAAGCAGGAATCGAACCTATGACCTTCGAATTATATATATATATATATATATATATATATATATATATATATATATATATATATATATATATATATATATATATATATATATATATATATATATATATATATATATATATATATATATATGTATTAGCAATTATGTATGAAACTAAACTATCGCTTGCTGAATCTTTCTGTCTTTCTGTTAGTTTTGCTGCGACGGCAATAAAGCACTCTGTCTGCAGCCTGACCAATACAGTGTGCAAGTGTGGCCACTGTTACTTTTTTTTTCCTTTTTTTAATAGTACACGGTTGAACTGAGCACTCAGACTGGCATTTTCCTGCAAAAATGGAGGTGCATATGGATACATACGCGGTCTAGAGAAGTGGGTTGATCTTTCGATAACATCAGTCGGAATTGATGAAATAGTACTCTGGTGGTACCCTATTTACACTATACCTCCGGCCAAAAAAAAAAACCAGTATGGGGCGTCTTTGTGCCATAATACAATATTGTAATCTATATGGCGGCTTCTTTTCGGCTCTAGCCACGTGACCTGTTAATTATAATGCTTATAATTGTTGGAATTTAACATCCCAAAACCACAATATGACTATGAGAGACGCCGTAGTGGAGGACTCTGGAAATTTCGACCTCCATGGAGCTATCTAACGTGCACATAGATCTATGTTCAAGAGTCTGGAGCATTCTCGCCTCCATCGAAAATGGGGCCCTCTGGCTGGGATTTGAACCTATGACCATCGAATCAGCGGTCGAGTACCTCTTAACCACTATATACCACTGTGGAAGGTCCCGTTCATTTTTGGTCACGATAGGTGGGCGCTGGTAAGCTTGACATAGTACTCTTGATAGGAACTTAGCCAGCGCACAGTTTTCGAGAAAGTTAGAGAAACGAAGTTAGGTGACTATTATACTTAGGTGGCAGAAGAGACGCTCCAAATATTTCCGATCGCTTTGGAGTGCATGACCGCTGAGACAATTACTTATCGTTCTGATTGCTGATTACCTTGATTGTGCATTCTGTGTAGGTACCCATGAATTTATTTGATTTGTGACTGATGTGAGAATGTTCGCGTGCTGTGCATGTTAAATGCCGTTGGTTAATTAGTTCTGTTAAATCTTGGACGTAGAAGACTGTTCAACGTACATGTTTGTGCGTCTCACATCAGTGCATATATTTGGCATCATTTCGTAACGTTTCGCTCAACAAAATTACACCACAGTCACTTTCGCTGCTGCATGCTTCGCATAACATCGATTCCCGTGGTACGTAGGATCTGCCAAATTTCCTTCCCCTTTTTATTATTGGCAAAACCTCATTTGGTCGAAACAGTAGAGTTGCCTACTAAACGTATTAGAGGTAGGTCTACCACTGTGCATCGTTTCTGTAGCGTGCCAATTGATTATAAGTAAATACATGTATGTGACCTTCGTACTTGCACCACAAGATGCACTTTTTTTATTTGCCTTACTTTATCTGTTTTTACATGGCTAAGTTTTTTAATCGATTCTATCTTCACAGCCTCGTTAAGTGAGAATGCTCTTTGTACCTGTATATGCATTGCATGATGTCGCATTTGCACGGCTTTGTATTGTTGAAGACAAAAACAAAAAAAATTATCGCAAAGCTATTCGAAGCCGTAAGGGCGACCTTTAGTTATAGACATGTGGTAACCATCATTCCTGCTCTTGTTCAACTAACACCCATGCAACTCTCGCGAAAGTAACTGTGACTTGATGTAACTGTAGGAGGTAACTATACCGCCTACGCGTCGTACTGAAGCAGTTATCTAATGTTACTTGTCGTTATCTTTTGTTAGAAATTACATGTAACCTCTTGTAACTGCTATAAGGTTCCACAGCCGAAACAAAGATGAAGTTCGTACCATTATACCATTCACTGGCACACCCCGGCAGTGGCGTAGCCAGGGGGTGGCACACCGGGCCCAAGCACCGGTCTCCATCAGATGTTTTTTTCGCCATGGCATACAGAAAAAAGAGTGATCATTTTAAGGAAGTTCGCCTCCCCCCATCTCCTCCAAAATATTTTCTGTCTACGCCCCTGCACCTCGTAAGGCTTGTATTGTACACCGTTCACCATATCTACCATCTTTTTTTTGTAACTTTTTTCCCGTACACTTCAACCTTTACTTTCAGTTTATTCTACGCTTCTTTAACGTTGAACCAAAACTCCTCTTCTTCCTCGTCTTGCCAGGCTACCAACAAAATAGCTACAACGATCTCCTTAGAATACTGTCAGGTAATTTTAGTTTTCGGTTGCTGGCATAGAGACAAGAGTGCCGTGAGGCCGATATTAATCCCCCCCCCCCCCCTCCCGACTCACTCCAAAAAAACATTCTGTTCTTGAATTAATTTTTATTTCTACAAAGCCTGTCCTGTCAGTCGTTTCACGGCCAGGTTATTTTTTTTTCACAATCTAATCAGGTACAGTGATCGCGGTTCAGCTCTCACAAAAAATATGGCAGCAACGTTCATTATGATCGGCACGAAGAAAAGAAATTAGCAGTATCGAAACATTTAGGCAGGTTTTTATATATCTTTTTTTATTTAATTGACGCTTTCTATATTTGCTTTTTTCTACTTCCTAAAACTACTGGCGTCGTTTTTTTTTATTTCGTGGTTTTGAGAAATCTAAGTGGCTCGGCTTCAGACAAGCCACTGCTTGTTGTCCATATCAACGAAAAGGACGTTATTGATTGACGCGAAACTCTCGCTGTAGATTTCTTAATTAGCCGCCAAATTGCACGCGCGGGACTTCATCAGCTTCACTGTAGAAACAAATTATCGGCCGTCTCAAAAAACACGGTCTCCGATTTCAGCCCAAGCTGAAAACCTTTCTGAATGGTTGCTAAGGAAAGAAATTGTCCGACGCTTCAACGTGTCGCCTCAATGGTAAGAGAAGCGGGTATCTTTTTTTTTTTTCATTCTAGTCTGCCTTCATTTTAGTAGCTCGTCATCGAACGAATGAAAGGACTGTTACTGACGCCGAGAAAGATTAGAGATTTTAATTAGTTGGAGGTCGCCTTTTGTGTGCGCGTCGGATAATCTGAAACTGAAGATAAACATAGCAACAAGTGAAGTAATCGCAATAGAAAGCGCGCTGATAAATTCGCCATTAACGTTGTCTATTTTCATTGTTATTTTAAACTTCTTGCTTTATATTAACTGACACGCCAGTTCATTAAAAATGTACTTTTTAGGTTATAGCACTGACTTCTTGTTTCCCAGCTAAGAACAAATCACGATGCATTGCTTTGCATGAGAAACGGGTTCAGTCATCAATTAGTTCTTTTTTTTCCGAGTATAGAACTCTATAGACATATATGAAGAGATTCACATGATGCTAGAGACCTGAACTGATCAACAAGGAGTCGCGAAAGAGATGAATTTGCACTCAAGATTGCAACAAGATTCTGACAAGCCCACAACTTGAACATTTGACCGTAAGATATTCCTGGTTACTACCAAGCAGGTTCTCGTACCACAACTGATGGAAGTGTATCATTCATATATGACACAGGCAGGAACGCTAGCGAAAGAAGAGAAGGAAGAGTGTTGTTGCTTCTCGCGCTTGCTCCACTTGACAGCTGGTCGGCTTTACCTCTGCGTTTTCCCCAGTAAACGTGTCTTCGACTCAGCGCTAAAGGCGCACTATCACTGGCGTTCTTGCCTGTGTCATATATCAATGCTACAGAAGTAATATTAGCCCGCAGGAAACTCTTGATCCTATGTCATGGAACGTACGAATTTTTGTGCCGTACGTAGCTCATCATCCGCACTGAGTCATCTCAGGATGACATGCAAGCAATAGTGATTGTGTCATATGTTTCACGCGAGCAAGGCCGCGTACTACGACCAATCACTTCAACTCTTGGAAGTGTTCTGCAAGACTTACAGCACAGAGCTATTTTCGCATTGCAGGGCCTTCCCATTTCGTCGTTCTTATGCATTCGGCAGCGGAGTGTAGGGAATATGCAAGTTATAGGACGGTTGCATGATAACTGTACGGCAAAAGCAGACATTCCAAAATTTGAGCTGCCTCTCTGCAACGTGTCTCTCGTCACAGTGATTTGCACATTTGGACTGTATATCTATGCTTTACGTTTGTAGTAGTGGGTGACTTTTTTTTGCGCATTAGTTCCCTCATCCTTTCAGAGCGCTAGCTGCATTGAAATATATAAGGCTTTCTATCTGGTACGACGCATATTCACTCCGCCTGTATGTAGAGACAATTGTCAAAACCCACAAGCAAATAATTGATTGTACCCTGATATCTATAACGAGAGCACCTGCAAAGTTTGGAGTATATAATTTGCTACATTCAGAAATACATAGTTTGGGATTCTGAGGCAAATACTAGAGGAATTAATCCGTATGCACCCTGTGGTCTCTCAGCGGGGTGGGCCGCTGCCCAGCGCAGCTCAGAGCTCATGAACCGACCAAATCTCGTTCGTCCAGCAGACCCGCGAAGCGCCAACTAAGCGATGCCTGGACGTTTGTGCATTGAAGACGTGAGCCGGCATGGGTTTTGTCTGCAGGGCACTCAATAAACATTTTTACCAGCTTGCCAACTTAACCGGCACTATATGTGATGCAAAGAAATTTATATTCTCGCACAACTGGCCGACACGATGTTGTTGTCCGCTTTGCGCTCCGTTTAGCTTAGACGGGTGTATCCCGACATTTAGCAGCTGGAAGTAGGCTTTTTCCAGCTGTCTCGGTGGTTGAATATACTGTATCATGCATGCCGACATTCCTCGTTCTATATATGTTCTTTTTTTAATGAATGAAGGCTTGCGGAGCTTGAGCTCTGGTATCGCGCAAGATGCGCATTACTCGGTTCTTGAATCGGATTTGAGGCCTTCTGGCCGGAGATGACTTTCGCGGCTTCACTTCAACGAACGTGGGCATCTCGGGACCTGCCACGTTCCAGGCGACTCCATCGTCGAACACGTCTTGAACGTCCACGGGCACGAAACATTCCAAACGAATCAAGAGTCCTGCGCAAGCACAAGAGTTAGGTCACACTGACGTGAACGACACCAAATAAACATACGAGAACGCTCTTTAAGGTACGAACACACACCAAGAAATCTTCTTTAGAAGAACATTCATTCCTTGATCCTTCTTTAATGTTAGCATTAGGAAAGATCGGAACTAGCTCTCTTACAAGTATTGTTGTAGCAGATCATTAGAAATGTTGAGAAGTGTTTAAGTGTTTTGACTCTCTCTTTGCCTTTCTCGGTATCTCCGCTGCTACCATGCCGCCCTGTAGCTCAAGCAAGTTTATGAATACAGGAACGTATGCTTTTTTTATTTAGTGTACCTTTACCCATGATGTGCTGACCGCTGCCAATGTTATGTATGTAAAATCAAGCGTTATCTTCATTCATTCGTATTATGTGAGCGACAGCTCAGCCCAATCCCACGCCAAATCATGACAGTAATTAACGCGAACACCTTTGTCACGGACTGCCATTTTTGCGACCCGGCGTCACGGCAATTAACGGGCGCCGTACTACCCCGCTGACCAGCGGGAACTGCGGGCGCATGAAAGAGAGCCGGGAAGTGCAGAATGGGGTGTTCTTCTTCGAACGTCGCCGCCGATGTTTGATCCTTTGTACCTACGGCGGCGTCTGCAGGGTCGTGGAAGGCCGCGATGTACCCCGAACAAGGTTTGGACTACGGGACGCACCGGCTGAGAGCCAAACAGTCTGATCGTTCCCACGGGAAAACTTCTGGTGGCCAAGCCGTATGACAGCACCCCGACAGGTTGTCACTCTCGCTAGTTAAGGGCCCTCTCCTAATTAAAAAGGGGTGGGGTCAATATATTTTTTGGGGCGGAGTTTCCAACAATAAAACGCGCATTATTGGACCCATGTAGAGGTCTCTTGTCCCCAAAGAAGAGAGCGAAGGGACACGAAGGGGATTTAAGCGCAGGATTTTGCCCTGCTAGTGTCACACCTGTCCCGTTAATTAGGGAGGCGATCGCCGGGCTAATTCCAAGAGCCGAAGTATCGGCCCCCCGAACCGCACCACGAAAGCGTGGACAATTTAGAAGTGGTCCTTATTGGTGCGCCAGCGGACGCCGGCTGTGGCCCAAAGAACAAGTCAGAGCCGAGAGTTGATAAACAAACAAAATTATATTCTCATTAACGGCAGATCAAAAACAATACACACGTATGCACACTCCACAATAGTTACATACAATACGTCACCAAACAGACAATGTACTACACAGTACAATCAACCACACTTGAAACAACGGACACAGACAACAATACGCACTACAATGCAGTCGCATGCATTGAACAACCAAGACACTTAAAGACTAAAGAGATATAAAACCTATTCAGTCCAAAGTCCTTGGAACAAAAGTCTGAATGATACTCTTCCGAGAATCACTCACTCAAAGTCCAGCGTTGTTGTCGTTCCGCAGCTCTCGAAGTTCTCTCCCAGGAAACCTCCCGTCTTCAATTGGCCACTCTTCCAACTTCAACTTCTTCGCCGGAACACGACGGCTTCACACTCGCAGCGGTTGCCACGGGTCTTCGCTCGATAGCGGTAAACACACACTCTTGCCTGTAGCTCGAGCCGTCCCTACGGACCACAAACTTCGCCGACTACACGGCGGACTCTCTACGCACTCTGGCGCTCACTTCCGTCTCCTCCTGTTCTGTCACTACGGGCAGAACCTTCGCCGACTCCACGGCGGAATCCCTACGCGCTCTGGCGTTAACTTCCGTCACCTCCTGATTTCTCGTCTCGGCTGCTCGGTTAAATACCTTGCGCACGACTTTCCAGATCTTTCTCGTCATTTCGTCGGCGCGATACGCAGCGAAGGCTGGGGAGAGGCGAGACGGTTTGTCTGCCCTCCGCGTCGGATGACTCAGCTCGGTCTGACCCCGCCCCGTTCGTTCGAGAAAAATCGCGGTCTTGCTGGGCCGCCGATGTGGGGTGAGGAGGATCGTCTGCGAAGCCGTGCTTCTGCGGGGAGAGCGCGCGCCCGGGAGCCCTGGATGTTTGCTTTCTTTTTTTTTTCCTTTTTACCTCGCGGCGTTTCTGCCGCCCGTTGTCGCAAGTATTTGGCGGCGCGCTCTTGTTTAGCGCTCGTTCTGTGACACTGCCCCCCACTTTAAGAATATTATCTCATAATATTCAAAAACCACACAGACGAGCGCGAACAGTCACCACACATTCTCACAGACTGTAACACAATCCGTCGCTCATGACACTTCACATTCACAATATATCACTCAATACAAACGTACATTGTAGTTCAATTCCACAACACATGAAATATAACCACAGGTACATGCCTACAACACTTCATCACACATTCTAAACAATACAAACGTACAAAGTTCTGTCTATCCAACAATTATACAACACTATACATCACACCATCGCACAGAACACTGACTCACTCGACATACACTTGAGACACAGGATAACAAGAACCTTAACACAACATATGTCACTCAGCCCTGCCGAACACATTCTGATTCCAATTCAGCACCTATCTTGAGTACTTCGAACAGCGCTTGCGCCCTTTCTTGCGGTGCTCGCTCGACTTCTTGTTTTTCCACGTTCCCTTTCGGCGAGCCCTTTCCAACGACGATATCTGAGGCGGCGTCTCAGCCACCGTTGTCACTTCCGACACCGTTAACGGGTCATTACATTCGACGGGTCCTGTCTGTTTATTTACCCGCTTGATCATGCCTCTACATTTTTCCCGGCTGGCCAACTCCGTCTCCTTTACACTGTCGGTCGGTTGAGGTCGTGCCGACGTAAGTCCGGTTGCTCGGCCTGCGAACTTATTCGACACGATCGTCTTCTCCTTCGCTGTCTCTTGCGCCGCAGCTTCACCTTGTGCTCTAGTGAGATCCGTCACGGGATGTTCCTCCACTGTATCTCGCGGCCGCTGTGTTGGCGAGGGCTCTATCTTCGGGTCTTCTCCCAAACATTCTGGATCACTTGGCCCTCGCGCCCCGTCGATGTTTCCGATGACAAGGTCATACAGGGGGGTCGTCATGCATAACGCAGTAACCTTCCCGCTGAAGTATGGGGTTTCAACCTCAATTTCTGCTTCGGGAAGCATCCGGACTGTACGGTCAATTAGGCAAACCGGTTTCGTTCTGCCTGTCAACTCTCTCTCCCGTACCAAATTTCTCCGCACGATAACAGTGGAACTGCCGGTATCTTTTAACACCGTAATCTTTTTGCCCGCAACTTTTCCAGGCAGCGTTGGCATTCCTTTCGTAACACCGGTTGGCTGTTTTGACATTACAGCACCCACAATAGGAATTTTCTCCCCATTCTTCAACTCTACGAATCCATCAGTGACGGCATTATTATCAGATTTCGGTGCTGCTTGCACACAGGATACCTGGTGAGTTTGACTCACTCCGTTCCGACATGCATCTGCTTTGTGCCCAGTCTGACCACACTTGAAACATTTTACAACCGTAGGGCTCGTAAGGATCGTTCGACAGTTTTTCGCGCGATGACCCACTCGGTTGCACAGAAAACATCGCGGAATGCTCTCTGGTGCACGCTTCTTTTCTTCGGGAGCCAATTTCTTCGAATCATCGGGACAATCCTTCTTGACCTTGGCCAAATTAGTTCCTCCTTGCGCTTCTAAGAATTGATCAGCCAATTCAAGCATTCCTTCAAATGACTCCGCCTTCCTCTCTTTCAAATACAGCGACAGGCTTGGGTGGCAACTAATAAGAAATTGTTCTTTAATTAGCAGCTCTCTAAGTTCATCGTACTCCTGTGCTGTCCCTGAAAGTTCAATCCATCTGTCGAAATAATGGCAAAGTCGGGCAGCATACTGCGTAGCTGTCTCACCATCAGCTGGCTTTCCTGTCCGAAATCTGTCCCGGAATCCTTCCACGGTAAATCTAAATCGCTTCAACAAAGCAGCTTTCACCTTTGCATAGTTGGCTGCATCGGTCGGCGTCAGCCTACCGTACACACTGAGCGCTTCACCACTCAAGCAGGTGCTCAAAGCAGTTGCCCATTGCTGTTCCGGCCAATTCTGGCTCCTCGCAATCGTCTCAAATCTGTGGAGGTACGCGTCTAGGTCGTCCTTCCTTTCATCAAACGCTACGAGCAGCTTGCTTGGGTTCAAGCGGAAGCCGTGATCTTCCCGTTCGCTGCTTTCAACTCTAGCTTGGACGGGAGTTTCGTTTCGCTGTTGCAAACGGAGCCGCTCGAGTTCAATTTCGTGCTGCCGCTGCCGTTCCCTTTCAGCCATCTCCGCTTCTCTTTCTTCTTTCAGCTGGCGCTCCCTCGCTTCTCTTTCTTCTCTCGCCCTTTCGGCTGCCAACTTCTCTCTCTCCAGCTCCAACTTCAATTGCTGCTCTCTTTCTTCCTTCAGCTGTCGCTCCTTTGCTTCTCTTTCTTCTCTCGCCCTTTCAGCGGCCAGCCTTTCTCTCTCCACCGCCTCTTTCTCCTTCTGGCTTACCCATTTCCGTAGTTCGGCGCCGGAAAGACCCATCTTCTCACCAAGCGCAACTAACTTTTCGAGATCCATTGTGTCTCGCAACTCGCAAATACAACCTTGCCGCGTGCAAAAAGTATCTGCCTAAATCAGTCTATCGGAACACTCCCCTGCACTCGTTAACGAGAACACTGAACAACACACAAAATCGTTCCGACAGCACAATCAACAACTCGAGGCTCTTTCCTACTACTTTGGACACACTGTGCACCAAAAGGTCCTGTTTCGCGGACGCCAGATTAATTGTCACACCTGTCCCGTTAATTAGGGAGGCGATCGCCGGGCTAATTCCAAGAGCCGAAGTATCGGCCCCCCGAACCGCACCACGAAAGCGTGGACAATTTAGAAGTGGTCCTTATTGGTGCGCCAGCGGACGCCGGCTGTGGCCCAAAGAACAAGTCAGAGCCGAGAGTTGATAAACAAACAAAATTATGTTCTCATTAACGGCAGATCAAAACAATACACACGTATGCACACTCCACAATAGTTACA